ACATTTTCAAGTTTCAATAGCAACATTAATTAAAAATTGAATTAAAACCAACTGAATTTGGATCTGCGCCTACGCTCAGAGGCGTATTGGTTTCCGTTTATTGAAACCTCCCTCCCGAATATTTTAAATTATTTCCCTTTAGACTGTTAGTTTGAGAATTTGCAGTTTCAGAATGACGTGTGTACTTCTATTTAAATATGTTTAAAGAGTTTATAAATATTAAAACTTATATTAACAATAATAAAAACTACAGCGTTCAACAAATTTAACATTAAAAACTGAGAAGTCCCCTTAAAAAATTCAACAAAAAATGAATCAATGTTAAGATTATGCAAAAACAATAAGAAATGTTCACCTCAGACATAATTGGCGAAGGGCCTACAGAGCTAGGTCGAATGAAGCAGTTCGTCGCACATGGGCCACATTGAAGTTCCATATATTGAAAATATATCTATCTAGTCATAGTTATATAGTTATACATATACATATACATATATACATAGTTATATCAATGGCTCAAACTCTCACTATTATGGCCTAAGCCCGAAACGTTGGTTGCTTGACGTGATTGTTTTTGGTATATCTGTTCAAAAAAGTCATTATTTTTCCGCATCATTCAATTATTGAAATAGACGCGACTATTCACAAAGTCCTTTACAAGTTGTTTTGGTTCGGCAGTGTATTGCCCACTTTAATAAGATTATGATATGTGTAAACTGAAAATCTAAAAACAACTGAAAAACCAAACTTGATATTGAATGTTCAAAGTATATTCTGTATGCATAGAATATATGACAAATAAAACAAAATGTTTCGCGACAGGAACAGCATCAATGCTCAATGATTTTCTCAAAAATGACTAGATATTCAGTTCAAATTCTGTTAATTTTAACCAAAAAAAAAAGTGTCAACTAAGGAGTGTGTTATTAGATAAAATTTATAATAATTACCATATTGCAAATAATTTAATTAAAATAATGAGAGGAGGGACAAAGAGAAAGCTTAATTTATATGTTTTTTTAATTATAGATCGAAATTTAGAAAAAAAAGGCAAAAGTTCAAATTTCAAGCACCCTGCAGGATGCCGAAAATCGGGAAAATGTAACATACGACACAATTATATCAGAAAACCTACGTCTTGATATAAAGCATGTCAACGGGCACTTCAACGGGATAACAAAAAAAAACTTAAAAACAGAGCTAAATGATAACGGGGAAGTAGACTCTTACGGAAGCGTTAGGGTTGTCAGACTATAATTGTATTCGGTGATTCACTGCTCCAAAGTTTTTAAAATTGATTTTGGCCCCACCCGTTTTTCACCTTATGTATCTCCTCGAACCGTGAAAACCTGATTATCACAAAACGGGAAAGGAGGAGTATTAGCTGCAAAAAGTCTAGGACTTAAGTTAACAGCAAGCGTGTATTGTTATTAAACAAATTCTCCAAAAAAAAAGGGAAAAACCAACCAATCGACTTTGGTGCTATATAAAGCATAAGCTTCCAAAGAAACGGTTATGAATAATCCTTTTACCTTCACGGTCTTGAGCGCTCAATCCTAATATAAGCCCTCCGCATAACAGGCATGTAATTCACAAAAGAATCTGCTTTAGAGAAGTAGAAATTACTCACAAACACCAAATTTTATTGCTATTGCTATTTTTTTCTCTGGTGGATGTTAATCAGCATGACCATCTAGAAAGTTCTAGAATGAACGGTCCATAGTTTCAAGGGATGTCGAGACACGCGCTTCACCTTTCACCTTGGGCGACCTTCTTGGAGGCAGTGACAAAGGAAAACGCCAGTCGCTGGTTGTCAGAACAAACTAGTGCAGAACCACCCTAAGTACACAGTTACATCATGCCCCGCCAGAAGAGGTCACGTGCTATGGAACAAAAAGTGAAATTTGAAGATAACAACTGGTATAACGAGCTTACCAGCTTGAGCTTACCAATATATTCAAATCCACAAAAGGTGATATCAACTGAATCAAACTTAATATATGGGTGCAATGGATTATATCCGCGTTATTGAGAATACCAAAAAAACAAAACGCATAAAGATTTCATTGGTCGATTTTGATATTCCCTGGCGATGACAGACTATTGCGACTGTGTTACTTCCGGGCAAATTGAGCGTCATTGATTACCATTTGACTTGCGATCAATCAAAATATTTTAGTGTATGAAAAATGATATTTAACGGCGGAAAATGCCGAATGAAATGGATCTATCTGTATATCTATCTTACTCGAGACTGCTTCGACTTTGAAAGTTGTAATCTTAATTACGTTTTTTTTTTGCAATGTAGCTGAGATAAGTGAGAATTAAATTGGAGTTGCGATGGCTACTTTCTTTTCAAAATACGACCAGTGGATTCCAGGACATGACGTGAGCTGGAATATAGAGGAGCTGAATATAAATTACAATACCTTTCATATCTGTGTGTATGCATACTATTTGGTACCTATTAAAATTATATTAAATAATATTGTGGATTAAACTTAGGTCTTTAACTAAAAGCAATTTTCTGATTTGGGGTAAATATAGCCTGTAACAAGCAACGGTGGCGGCGTCTTTTTTCCTATCGAAATCGGAATCATTAATAACTCTTAATAACGATTGGACTCAAATTTCACGACATCGCGCTGCGCGCGTCTTTCACGTCCAGACGCGAGGTCGACGATTTACGGCCGAAGGTTGTCCGTCGATCCCCACACACCGACGCATAAATCATCGACGGTCGGCGTCCCCATCGAACATCACGTCCCGACGTCGCCAAAGATAATTAATACGCCCCATTTGGGTGTCGCTAATCCTCGAAACAAAGAGCCTACCAGCACTTAGACCTCACCGCGTTCTCTGAAAATTAGACCCCCGAATCTGATAGCCAGATGCTTTGTGGAAATTTGCCGAGGTTATTTGCGAAGTCTTCAACCACAAAATCGTCTGACCATATCACGTAACCATGAAAATTTGATATGAAATAATTAGACAGATTCATCCCTGCTTGTAGGCGTTGATCGGCTCCTTTCAAGTTAAAAGAGCTAAAAAATTTGATATCAAAAATAATACTAACGGGTGATTCAATAAGAGTTTCCACATTAAAATCTGAAATATTTTTGAAACGCCACTGTATTTGTTTATTATCATATGAGATTTCTAACCTCAAAACATAAACAAAATTAGTCATGGAGCAATATACGACTGAACAACGTGTAAAAATTGTGCAAGCCTATTTCGGGCTCTACGTGAATTTTTCGGCGCGCAAAATTGACCTTCTGAGAGGACAATTTGGAATGTGGTTCAAAAATTTGAGCAAACTGGATCTGCAACTAACCTCAAAGTCCCTTAACGTGTTCGTGCAGGTCGGTCAGAACAAAATATTGCCATTGTTCGCAATAGTGTAGCCGAAGATCCAAACACATCGATTCGTCATGGATCGCAGCAAGTGGGCCTTACGTATTCAACCACACAGCGAATTTTAACAAAATATTTGCATCTACACCCATATAAAGTCCAAATAACTCAGGAGTTGAAACCTCGAGATCATCAACAGCGCCGCGTGTTTGCAAAATGGATACGAGAACAAGGGGTTCATTTTTCAACGAAAATCATCTTTAGCGATGAGGCACATTTTCACGTTGGTGGCTTTGTAAACAAACACAATGCTCGTATTTGGGGATTAGAAAATCCAAGAGGTTGTTCAAAAAGCAATGCATCCTCAAAAAGTGACTGTTTAATGCGCATTTTGGTGCGGAGGAATAATTGGCCCTTTTTTTTTTCGAGGATAATGCGGAGAACGCTGTTACGGTTAATGATGTTCGCTATCGAAACATGATATCTGATTTTTTCTGGGAGCGGTTGGAAGGTATGGACATTGAAGATTTGTGGTTCCAACAGGATGGAGCCACTTGTCACACATCCAGAGAAACGATGCAATTGCTGCGGAGCAAGTTTCCTGGTCGGATTATCTCATGTAACGGCGATGTCAATTGGCCGCCGCGATCATGTGATCTTACTCCCCTAGATTATTTTTTTTTGGGGGTATCTAAAAATCAGAGTATGTAGAAATGAACCAAACACTATTCCAGAATTGAAACAGGAGATTAGAGGCGAACTAGCCGCTATAGAACCTCAATTGTGTCAAAAAGTAATAGTCACATGAGTCGCGGGGGTCATTTGAATGACTTCATCTTTCATACCTAATTCTAAAACACTAATCTAAAATGGCAAATAAAAATGTTTGTATTCTTCCGAGTTTTTCTTATTGTTTTAATGTGGAAACCCTTATTGAATCACCTTTTATTTTTAAATTAATCTTTACAAACTATTGCACAATAAACCGAATATGGTGCACTAGGCTATGCACGAAGCTAAAGAGGAAAGCGTAATTCAAATATACTTCACTAATCAACTAATAACGCAGGTCTACGGCGATTTTGATGTTTTTAAGCTGGGGGCCCTTTTTCCAAAAAACACCATATTTTTGCTCTATCGTGTCATTTTTTTATAATGCTCTATGTATTAAAAATGTTGTTTTATTAATATGCATACCTATGATATGAATATGTTTATTCCACGTTTGGCATGTTTTTTGAATGAATTGATTTTTACAAAATTAAATGTGATTTCGCACTGGATAACATTAGATTTCTCTGCAAAGCAACAGAGTTGGCGAAAAAGCGTCGATACAGAGTTCTAACCTGCTTTTGCGCACTTTGGTCGTCGTGCTACTGTGTTCGCGGCTGTTCTATTTTTTGATGCATATGAATTTGTGTCCTAGTAAAGCAAAGGCAATCTGTAACTTCTTTTGTGAAAAATATATATCACGCTTATTTTGGTGTAAAAATTGGCTCATCATACTGTTTGTTCCGTTTGAGTTGATGCATTAAGAAACTGCCAAAAATACAGGAAGAAATTTTTAAGCTTTGGTGTTGCTGTGGTATGGCGGGAGCCTAGGAATCACAGTGATGATTGTTATTTTTATTACAGAATTCAACTGCTCGACCAGTTCCTCATTGACCAGATGCACCTATACCTACCGCCCGCCCCATCGTCATATCGTCAGAATCAGAGGAATCTAATTCCGACCCAGATAACTCAGACTTCACACCAGATTTCATAGAGTCTGAAGTGTTTAGCCCGAGTGAATTGAATGATTGAATTACAGATTGCATCTTCCAAAGGATGCATTCGAATTGTTAGCGTCTAGATAACAGGTGGGTTATTCAAAATTTCCAGGCCTTATTTGTGAGTGGGATGGTCTGGCAAGAGATAGACATTTGCCCTCTAGTAGCAAAAATGTATTAAGAGATAGCTCAGTGGACCCCAGAAAAGTTTTTTTTTTCATATTAAACTTGGCTTGATGAAGCAGTTTCTTAAAGCCTTAGACAAAAGTGGACAGTGTTTCAAATATTTGTGCGATAAATTTCCAGCCATATCTGATGCGAAGATAAAAGAAGGTGTTTTTGTTTGATTGCAGATAATAACGTAATGTAAAAACAAGTACTTTGATAATAATAGAAGAATAAAGAGATAAAGATGTAAAGTAAAGTAAAGAACCCCGTCGCTAAACAAAAAAACTAAAAGACCTTTGTTAATTAATGCCTAATCAATATGAGTGTATACTATATACAATAGATTTTAACGGACACTTGTTTATAAAAACGAAAGTTAAAAAAATATGTTTGAGATTCCAAATGTTTTAAAAACCTTAGACATGACTTATTAATATGTTATTAATATATCTTTTAAGCACTAGCTGAGCGCAACAGAGCGAATAAAATATAGTGAGGTGTTTTGACAATCAGAACTGACAAATGTTAAAATTCTAAATCAACCGAAAACATCCGACCTCACCCATACCGTTGCATAATTGGGTATTTTAGAGTAGTGAGTACAATAATCTGAATTCAAACCAATTCAATTCAAATACATCAAAAGCCTTAACATTCTTAACATAATTAATATTTCAAGCCGCACAATTCAGTTGCTTATTTATGAAGAGTAATCCTCTTAAACAAAGGTTCCTTTTTCGATCCTCTGTCCATCGGCTTAAACAGGATTATCTTAATTTTGCGGACAGGATTTCCGACTTTGCTCAATCTTCTTGATTTTAAACAAGCGCGGTGTAGATTTTCAAACAATTTGTCCATCACCGAAACGGCAACAGACAACAGTGCCACCGCATACATTTGTTTATTCTAATTATCCTCAATAACTAATATTTCATTGACAAACGTCGCGATATATTCCAAAAACCGGTTATTTACTACCCAACCGGCGAGCAATATTGAAAATGATTGGGAATTTCGATACAGGGATCCGCGGTAAAAATGTCGAGATCCGCAGTAATTTGTTGCGGAATCGTATTTTGAAATATGGCCTGCGGCTCAAATCAAACACAAAATGCCGAGTTTACCGACACTAAATAATTAGCAAATCTGCGGGCGTAAACAAACCAAATTAATTTGAAACTATCTCCGGTTAAAGACCGATCAATCCTGGCAATTAAAACTGTTTACTCTTCAGATTGATCGAATGATAGTATAAATTTGTAATTTACAAATATAATAATGCCGTCCGATCTACCTAATGCAGAGTTATCGAAACTAAGATATTTTAATCCGTTGTCAAAGTCTTTTTAATAAATTGTCTTCATGAAAAATGATGTCCTTTCATATCAAATATCATCATATTATAAAGTTATTTTGATGAAAAATTTATATTCTAATTTTTTCAGATATTCCTCCAACATGCGTTCTGAAGTCTTGAATTGACTAGCGCATGATACTGGATTCGAAACTTTTCATATATAAATCTCTGGATAAATAATATCCGCTTTACAAAAAATTGCAAGTGAAGGCCAGATACCAAGGTTGGAGCCGGAAGAAGAAAAAAGGATTCTAAGACAAACCTTTTGCCAAGTTAAACCAGAGGTTACTCGTTGGTTGCTAATTAGAGGAAGGTCAAGAGCTTGTAAGTCATTTGAGTGTTATAGCCTTGATTTCTGCTGACCACTAGAGTTGCCCAAATGCAAGACCAAGACAAGACTTAGCCAGTCTTGGTCTTGGACTTGCGCTAATGCACACGGTCTTGGTCTTGGTCTTGGTATCGCACTCCAAGTCTTGGTTTTGGTCTTGGCCTTGCAGCAAGAGTCTCGCAAGTCTCGCAATTACCTACCTATTGCTATTTAATAAGTTTCATGTGCTAAGACATGGTTAAACAACATTGGCAACATTAACTTAGATGTATTTTAAAGAACATTATCAGTCTAGAAATAAATATTTGAAATGGAATAAAAGGGTTGTACTATTTACCATTCATTGAAATAAAAAATATAAATTAAATTACGAAACAGTACACAATACTTTTGACATTAGTAGTACTTTATATTAATTCTTTTGACCATGATTTAATGCAAAGTAACCATCTGGCTGACTCATCACTTAACCTATTTCTATGCTTTCTAGTTACTAATGATGCTTTAGAAAATAATCTCTTTGCAGGTATTGAAAGAAAATCACGGACCATCTTCGATAAAACCGGATACTCTGTCTCATGTGTCCTCCACCACTCTAAAATGTCTTCCGAGCTAGCGGCTATCGGATTACTTAGGTACTCTTCCAATTCGTCTATAACTAAGCGTTGAAGATAAGATCCAGATCCAGATGACATCGAGGGACATGCATACAGTTTCTCAAAGTCTATTACGTCGTCATCTTCATCATATTCACGTACTGTCTTTTCATTTTTTGGTGATTCTGGAGATTTATTCACCACATTTAAACATTCTTCATAAAGTAAAATTTGCGCAGGATTTCTGTTTTAATTTGCTTCCCCCATACTGTCATGTCAAACGTCTGAGCCTTATGCTTTGGGTCTAAAATTAAGGTGGTATAATATATCCAGTTGCTCTTTTTACATTGTTTAAGCATTTTGTCGCGAGCTGCTTGAAAACTATCTGTGATTTGGAAAATCATTCAGTTCGGTGACAGAAGTGCGGAATATGTTAATGCCGTTTCTCACTTTTAAACCAAATCCAATCATATCATTTGTAGAATTCCATCTCGTTGGACAGTCGAGTAAGGGAGCAAAATTTGATGGCACGCCAGCTGCTTCACAAGCAGACTGAAACTTTTTATTTTACAGGAAATACTGCGTAATTTTGTTATAGCTGTGCGTGAGTCAGCCATATTTGGCGCATATTTTTCATCTTCCTCAGTTTCGTTTTCATAGTCTTCATATTGCTGTTCTTTTGCGTTACCGTCAGTTTCACAGTATCGTACTAAGGTCTTTAATAAATCTTGTACATCAAGGTCTAAAATGTGAGCAAAGCACCGGAAATGTTAATTGTCTGAATCAAAGCGTGGCAGCTGTTTGCCTAGCTCATACATAAATTTGGTATTTGCTGATACTCTGTATTTTATCAAATATGCCATATTTCAATAAACATTCCTGGAAAATCGTTGCAATATCTTCCCCAGTGTGTCGACTACGGGATGGTATAAAATCAAGGACTATAGATCGATACTTCCATTCGTTGTCTATATAATGAATAGTAACCCCATAGCAACTTCTACCGGCAATTGACGTCCATCCATCAATCGTAAATGACATTTTAGATAAAATTTGTTGTAATCGTTTTTTAATACTCATTTGAAGCTCTTCAAATCGTTCTTTGACCCTTCTCCTAAGTTTTAGGAAACACCATATTTGGGCAAATAGATCGAAAATATGCTTGTGTAGGTCCGTCATTGAAAAATGAGAAGGGAAGATATTTGTTTACTATCACTTGCAGTCTGAGTCTTGTTCTTGCTCAAGTCTTGCACAGTCAGTTTTAGTATTGGTCTTGCTAAAATTAGGCGGTCTTGTTCTTGGCCTTGGTCTTGTAAAAATGCAAGAATAAGACCAAGACTGCAAGACCAAGACCAATTTTGGGCAACACTACTGACCAGGCGCTTGTTCTCTTATTTTTTTACACCAACTATTATTCTAGTTAATGGACTTGGTAATATTTTATATAGAGAACACTTCTTAGGTTCTTAGCTAGTTAGGATTAGTTCTTACTGGAATAGTACAAACTTTTACAAGTCTTAAAATAATTTCTTCAGGTACTTTCCTCGTCATCTACAAAACCACTTATATATCCGGAGGTGTTACAAAATTGTAGGTCAGTTATATTTCGCATTTATTCGTTTAGTTGTACATAGCTGATCATTAAATTACGTCAGCCGTTGATGATTTAATAAATAACTTCACACATAATAGACTTAGTCGAAATAAAAAAATATGCCAATGTTGGTTTGCTTCGATCTAAATTTTATAAGATTTTTTAATTGTTCTTCCAAAATCAATATCTCAATAGTCTATCTTTGGTTCGTAATTGAATTATTTGATTTGCTGTTTCGTTTATCTAGATTCTAGCGTGTCTAACGGAGAGAATCGTTTATGATTCTTCTATTTATTTTTGAAATATAAAATATGGCGGAATTAAGTTAAAGGGGCGTTTATCGTATACCGCAAAAAGCACGTCTGCATGTGAAACGTCGAGAAACGATAGACGGTAAAAATATTAAATTCTTAAATTGTCCGCATTCTATAACACAAAGCGATTTCTTTCAATAACGAAATTAATTTAGCGTATTGGTAAGCAAATTCAGCGATTCCGGGTTTCTTTTGAGCCCGAATTTCGCTACCGATAAATCTACCGACCCTCGGCAGATATAGAATTTCCTTTTCCCGGAATAACAGAGGAGATTAGCGTTTATCGCAAATTCCAGGTTAGCTATAATGTAGATTTTTGTTTATTTTTCGAAGATTTATAACGGAAATTAATTATAAAGGGGGAGGGGTTTTTAATTTGGCCCACGTCGTTGCAGTGTGATAAGGGTCGCTTTGAAAAATTTACTTGTTTGCTCTTCGGATCATAATTAGTTTAGGCCCAGGTTGACTAGTATCTAGTTAAGTGTCTCATCTCAAGTGTCGTTGGATTAATTCCTACTGAGCACATCGTTGTTTTTAGTGTTCATCCGAATGGTACCAGCTCGGTTTTTAAATTAATGTTAGCAATATTAACAATATTCCTCAATGCTTCCTCTAGGTTATAGGTTATCTAGGTTGATCTCTCTAAATAGACTTCAATGAAAACGTAAATAAAAACGCAAGGGAAGGGATTACATTGAAAACATCGATATTCCACATTCTTTTGCAATTGCAGTTATACTTGAAAGGTTTATACTGCCTTTGTTGATTTTCGTTGTCTTCAAACTCTGTTTGTCACAATTTACTATAACACAAGTTCACAGCAACGGTGGCGGTCCCACCTTAACTTTATTAATATTATCAAAAAAATATATACGATAATGCTACAGCCACTATCAGCGCCATATACCAATCGTCAAGGAAAATTGATATCCGTATATTTTTTTAATAATTCTAGAAGACACAATATGAAACGCGTGATCTCTCAATCGAATCCACTAATGAAATTCTTATCCTACTCTTGAAAAATACATTAAGATCAATAAATTAATGTCTCAAATACTAAACCATTGGTGGTGGGTCGGTCTGAGTCCTCCTAAAACATGCTTTGCCCTAAATAAAATTTCTGCTAAAGAGATTAATCATCATACATAATTGGGGAAAGGGAAAAGTCAGAATTTTCTATAACCAAGGCCTAAAAGTGGAGTGTCAATCAAGCGACTGCAGCGGCTCCAGCCGTGCGACTCTAGCCGCGCGACCCTGGCGACTTTGCAACATTTATTGGTTTACATTGAAACATACGAATGCGTTTTTGTAAATTACGCGACTTCAACGTGACGACAGAAATGTTCGCGACGACTCTAGCGACGCGTCTGCTAAAATAATAGTCTAGTCGCTACAGTCGCCGCGATAGATAGTAATAGTAAAAGTAATAGTAAATGTAATAACTTCGTGTTTTGGTAATTTTTTTAAAGGGAACTGGATGGCTCTTTATTGATTGAAGAAATAACAAATATTATAAAAATCAAAATATAAAAGATAACGCGTTGAAAGAAATTTTAAAGCAATCAGGTAAATAAAAAATTTGATTTTAATTTATATTTTTCTAAATAAACAGCAACACAAATTAGTAACAAAATTTAAGAATAATATTTATGTGTATGGGTTTGATTCACTTTTCCTGGACAAAATATAGGCACATGCTTTCCATCTACAGCTGCGACGTAATTGGTAAATTTTCATTTATGGGAATCAAAAGATGTTCTTTCGTTGGCAGTGGCATGAAAATTCGTGGAAGCCATTCGCAAAATATAGACTTTAACGAAATAAGTTACAACAGGTTCCGCAACAGCAACACTCAGTATATAAATTAATATCTTCTATTTACACTCGTTCAGGAGCACTTCAAATTCGAATGTGCTGGACAGCGGTGTCGAACAAAACGGCCAAATTGCTTCCGAAATGCAAATGTTTACTAAAAATCAAGAAGAAACTTAATTCCACAAAACTGTTTTGTTAGAAAACAATTTATCAGAATCATTCAGAAAGAAAGGGAAGCAAACAGAGAAGAGTTTAATAGAGAGAAGCGACAAATTCAAAAGGAAGTGGTGAAGCAAAATGGTTCAAAACAGCAAAAAATTATTTCACAAGAGGTTCTGTGCGTCATTGAAAGTAATCGGAAAGATTGGAAAGACAAGTAAGATTACTCATAACTGTGAAAACTAGAAAAGTTGAAGAAAATGCTATTGATGCAATTTTTAAAAGTATGGCTATGTCTTTTACGTAGCTCTCACCTTCCTCCCAAAGAAAAGCTAAAGTGGAAATATATCGCATTTTTGGTGACCTGGAATTGCATTCATAACCCCATATGCCTGTTGCCATACAACCGTCAATTAGTTTCTCCTTATCCTACTGGATAATTATTCAAATCAACCTATCAATTAATAATATGATGTATAATAAATAATAAATATAAATAAATACATACAAAAGCAAACATATTTGTTTAGCTTAGTGTTACCCCTAGCTTCTCTTCTTGAATCATTCGATATTTAACTAGTCCACGTCAGTGCTTTTTTAGGTCATCCTCAATCAGAGTTAATAAAATATTGAATTGATTGATATTAAGTCGAAAAAAACTTCTAAATTTAGTTTCGTCCGAACTAACATGTTTCTGAAACCCCCTTCTCCTCGGATACAGAAAATATCATGAGGACTGCTTCTTCATTTTCTAAATCGCACGACAAAGCTAGTGATATCTCCATGATAATCTATTGCAAACTGAAAGTTGAAAATCACGCAATGCATACTCGTGTAGGCCGCTGCAGTCGCACTGAAAAAGCCACGCGTTTGCAGCAGCGCGGCTGTAGCCGCCGCAGTCGCTCGATTGACCTCAACACTGCACAGGTAATACCCTGTTCTATAGCAGTTCTATAGGTAATAGTACGTTCTATAGATCGAAACCCAACTCCTGGAGAGCATTGTTGTGGGTTTTCAGAAATACTATAGTTAGTTCATTGGCTAATAAAACTGCTATGTATTTACACGTTGCTGATATCACCGAGAAAAACCCAATTCAATTTTTTCAAACATTTTCTTATGTTGACAAAATCTAATCCTTGTACTCTCTTGCAACTTGAGTCTGCTGCAACTCATTTAAAAGCTACTGTACTTAAAATGTGCCTAAATTTACTGCCATTTAGTGACACTTGCAAATTCCGACGCTATATACATCAAATATAATTGCGTTGAGCATATAAGGTGTCTGATATGAGACCTCGGA